GCTACTGTCACTGAAAAATGGCTCAGAACGTTTTCTCCATCGAATTGTCTCGATCCCACACCATTTTCACTCATATCATGCCGGCTCTCTTTGTCTCTCTTCCTCCTCCTTTTCTGTTGGCATGCTGAGTTTGTTTTCACGACCAGGCACAAGGCTGAGTCTGGCAGAGACAGCCAGCCTGACCGCTAGAGGATTATAGGGGCATCATTCTTTATTTTCTACTACAGTGAAGTTTAAACAGAAGTGTGGCAGAGTCATCTAGCCTGAGGTTGTGTTGTGCTGCACTGATCTACTTGCATTCCTAGGAAGGTCGTTGGTAGATATCTGTAGCTGCTGATGTGTGTCAGTCTTACAAGCTCAAGCATTTTCAGTCTGGTTTTTTAAGCTGTTATCCAACAAAAGCAAAAGCAAAACATTGATCTGTAGTGGTGGCTTTGTCTTTGCCGTGTCTCTCCAGAATGGATGATGGGAAGAAAAACAAAGAGGAAAATGGAGGGGTGGGGTTTCCAGACAGTGTTAAAAGGCATTAGCAGAACACGTGAGTGTAGATGTGCCGATGACGAGATGAAGTGTAGCATACAGCATTAATAAATTTGGTGGATAGTTTTAACAGATGTAATGAATTAGAGAAATAAAGTTTTAAGATGAAGAAATATGAAAGACTTTCACAGGAATAAAAATACCTTACCTGGCAAAAAAAAAAAGCTGGCATAGCAGCCACTAGAGGGCAAAGGTGGTTCTGTCTGTAGTAGAGTTTTAGTATAAGAATGGCTGAAGGTCATCAGACTTACAGGCTGTCTTGAAGATAGGTTGTCCTGTTGTTAGAACACAACCTCGTTCTAACACAGCGAGGTTGTGTTAGAACTAATGGGGATGTGAAGTCAGTGATACACTTCCTGATAACTTGGTCCCTTGAGGCAGACAGCACCAAGAGACGTTTGTCGCATTATGCACAATCTGTTTAAGAAGAGGCCCTGCAATCCGGATAATGGTATTTCACTCTTTACGCTGTTTTATCTTCTGCCATGTAATTTGTCTGACAGTTGTTGTCCAGACAATAACTGTCAGTCAAACTAAGGCCTTTCAAAGCGTAGCAGGTGCAGTGACATCTTTGAAAATTGTTTCTTTTGTCCAAAAGATCATATTTTCATCACCTTGTAACACATCAGTCTGTGAAGATCACCTGCCACGTCTCATTGCAACAACAGAAAAACCTGCCTAAGAAATCAGCTTCACTTCTTGTCTGTCTGCCAGCCTGCATCAGCCTCCATGATAACCAATAAAATGGTCTCTTCTTATACCATAACTGAGTTGGACTTAGGGTTTTCTCGACAGAACGGTGCCAATTGCTGTTATGGTGTTGGTCTAAAAATGTTTGGAAGGACCAGTCTTGACCATTTTATGTAGAGACACACCAGCAATACCCCTGGCACCACGGTATGAAAAACTACAGGGTGTCACTTTAGTGACAACCTGTATCTACGTAACTTAAATGTCAAGAACATGCAAAGAAAGTCTTTACATGTTCATAGTTAACAACAATGAGAGAACATTTCAAAGGTTCTCTTGATGCAAAACGTTTTACAAAAAACTCCACTCACACTTTGTTGTTTGCCAATCTTGTTTTCTTGTTGTGCTTTCTGGTCACATCCCACACTTTATGCTTAGCGCCACTCATAGGTCTGGGGGAATTAGTACAGCATTCTGAGCTGTTCACTTCATACTACACAGCATATCACTCGTTGTTATAGTTAAACATAATAATTTTAAAACTTCTCCAAGTTTGACTGATTAGAAGACAACTCATCAAAGACGAGGTAAAAAGCATTCCATGTTTCATACACCCTGAAATTTGATATTAACAGGCTATAATCTCTATTTTCTTGTACTTTTCTTGCATTGATTTTTACACGGATACTTATTTCTATTCTAATCAGTTAAATATAGTACAATATTTTAAAGCATCACATATAATTTTTGCACGTTAAGATGAATTATTTTAAAGATTAAAATTTTAAAAATCAAAAGTTTAATGTTCATATTTTAAAATAAAATTAACTACTGCATTCAGTGTTAGAGGTGCACTAAATTCACTTGTGACTTTACCTAGATGATGTTGAAATGCTTTTGAAAGGGCTTTGTGTTTACCTCTGAGTCATTAAGAGTATCCATCCCTTCGTCCGTCCGTCCGTCCGTCTGTCCAACCTTGTCCCTTAGTGGGGTCAGGAGGGTTGCTGGTGCTTATCTCCAGCTAACGTTCCAGGCGAGAGGGGGGGTACACCCTGGACAGGTCGACAGTCTGTCACAGAGCAATCACTCTAAAACTGGTCATCTGTTGCTTAAAGGAGCAGAAAAAAGAAAATGTTCTTGTTTTTGCAAACACAAGTCTTACAATGCCAATTATTTTATTGTGAAAATATTGCAATTTAGTTTTCAGAAAAAACAAAAATATATGTCTCTTTTCCATCACCTTTCAACAGCTGCTTAATATGTCTACCAAATGTATCTGTATCACCTCTTAGATTGATTTTATCCCATCACTTTCAGACCCTACGCTTTCATTTAAAGTTTTTCTTTTTTTCACTAAGCAGTGCCGGGTTTCGATAGGGTAGTGTCTTGTACGGGCCGATTACATAATCCTCTTGGGGCCGCTAAAAAGTGCTTCAGAAACTAGTCTGCAATTGTTTACCAAACAATAAGCTGTGCATCATGATGGGACGATGGAATAGAGCAGCATATCCAAGTTCCCAGCATGGATTTTTATTAGAGACAGCCTTAAGCGGAGCTAGAATAGAACAGCAGAGTCTGCATATTTTAACGTTAAACAACAAGAACAAAAACCACTGAGTGGAAGCAGAGCTCTCTGGGAGAGTTTAAGCTGTTACAGCCCTAAATGAGCTTTAAGTGTTCTCATTATGCTAATGAAACCTTGAACTGAATTGGCTTGCTGCACCCAGATGCTCATTGTTCTCTGCTGCCAAATGTGGAGGATTATCAGCCATGTCCTGTAAAACACGACACTGTTACACCTTACAGAACCTTGAGAGCAATGATTATATTATCCTGTTTCTGTGAAATCATCTTCTGAAGATCTCCTTTTTCCATGCTGGGTGCTTCTAGCCCCAGACTATCAACAGTTAGCTAAACCAAGTTAGCTAAACTTGGTTTAGCTAGTTAGCTAACCCTTGTTAGCTGCCTAACTAAAGTTAGCTGATAAACTTGGTTTAGCATTGTTGCTAACTGTTGGTTAAACCAAGTTTACTGTTGGTTTAGCTAACCAACAGTTAGCTTAACCAACCAATAGATTACTTAGAATGTTACTGGATGTAAGGTTAGATGACATGAAGAAATAAAATACAGAAATCCAGTTTGTGGAAATGAGATGCTTGCAGGAGGAAAAGTGTTAGAGGGAAAGTAGCCTGGGGGGAAGCTCCCGCTGGTAACTTTAATGAAGCCATTTTCTGCAGGCTTTTCACAGCTGTGACACGTATCGGGTTTCTGCCCTAATTAAAAGATCAGGTTGATCTGCTAACTCCCTCCATGTTTACAGCACAGAAAGTGAAGTCTTTGTTCAAGCCGCTGCATTTTACAGCGAGGTACCTGTTTGTGTTCTCTGGAAAGGGTCAGATGTCACAGTTTGAGGATTTGGCCACTTTATGTTCAAGACAGTGGTCAAAAACACTGGTTCTGTTAGCAAGGGTACAAACAAAAGGAAGAACCATTCATTACCAGGCTGGGATTATATCAAATATTCAATTCTACCTGAAAAAAACAAATTTATTCACAAATGTCCCGATCCTGTTTTTTCTTCCTTTGTTTCCCTTTTCATCTCTTGTATTTTCTCCTCTTCATTCCCATCTTTTTATATGTGATAATCAATATTTGCTTCTCTGCCTCTCAGCCACCACAATCAAAGACCAGTCCTGTCTTTATCTCTTTGTCTTGGCCCTCCTCTGATTGTTTACATTCTCATTCTGATTTCTTTTTTCCTGTATGGTGAGCTTACCGCCAAGGAAAATGTAAAACATTCCTGTATTGGCTGCGATGCAAACGCACACCAATAGTGTGTCAAGTAGTACTGTGCCTGATTATTTCAGCTTCCTAAACAATTTTCTTTCGAATATTTTTTTTTGTGAGTTTTGAAGGCAATTTTATTTGACTTACTTCAGTGGAGACATTACTTGTTTGTTTTTTTCAGTAACTTCAGATGATTTCAGAAGTGATTGTTGCACAAATGTTTTTTGTATGTTTTTTTTAACTTACTGGACATGAATTTGGAGCTGAAAATGATCATTTTGTCAGCATTCAGATCAATACAATTTCTTCTCCCGTTTTGAGCACTTCCGCACTCTCAATTCTCCCAACAAATATTGTCCACAGGATAAGTTAATTATTGATCTATTACAACTTAGCGATAGTGACTGGAAGTAGCTTAAAGTCTTATCTTTCTGTATCTAGTCAGGTTATGTTTTATGTTACGGTGCAAAATGAACTTTTCTGCCAAAACTTTATATCAAGAACCATTAGTTTGCTTATAACAGTGTTTAGAAGGTGCTTCAACAAAGTGCAGCTGAACTACATATAGTCTGCTGTTCAATTAGCTCAGACACTGAAAAAAAGACTCACTATTTCAGCTAGTTCTCACTGGTAAAATTATGCAGAATGAACATGTACAGACATTGGTGGCTGACTTATTTAAAAACCATACTGCACAACAGATGATTTCTTACCTGACAACTTTATACTCACAAACAACAAGGTCAGTGATCGTATGGCTGAATTATGTTCAGCCATACGACCAGTTATATCTCCTATATCTGTCGTCATCATAGCATTAGCTTTGTTTTGGGATTTCTGTTGCTTGAAGCAAAGATTTAAATTGGTTCCCTATCACAGAACAAAAAGTAACTGTTACTTAATTACTTTTTACACTTTAAAGATTTTTAGGATTATCTGCCTCTACGATTTAATAACCTTTTTTCCCTTTCCTTTGTCTGCAGTTAAATCTGACAAGACAGAGAAGGACAAACAGGAGGATGGTGTGCAGAAGGTGGAGGCTTTTGATGTGCTGAACAAAGCTGAGCACGGGAGCGTGAAGGTTGAATTCACCACTAATGAAAGTTTGGTCAAAGTGGCGAATGAGGTAGAAAAGGGCAAGGAGAAAACAAACGATCAGGAGACGGAAAATGTCAAAGAGGAAAAACAAGCAGACAAAACAAAGGAGATGGAGAAGCAGGCAGAAAGAGTGGATGATCAAAAGGAAACACAGAAGCTAAAAGACAAGGAAATGGAGAAACTGCAAACTGTCCAACTGAAGGAAGAGAAGGAGGAGAAAAAGCCCAAGATGGAAGAATCACCTGTCAAAGTGGAAAAGACTGAAAAGGTGGAGATGATCGACAAGATGGAGGACAAGGACGATAATGTAGAGATGATCACCAACAACGAGAAACTGAAAAAGGAAGAGAAAGTGGAGAACAAACACAGTGAGAAAGCTGAAAAGGTGGACGAAAACGAGAAGTCCAAAGAGGAGGAGAAGAAAGTGGAAGACAAGTCCAACGAGAAAGTGGAAGACAAGTCCAACGAGAAAGTGGAAGACAAGTCCAACGAGAAAGTGGAAGACAAGTCCAACGAGAAAGTGGAAGACAAGCCCAACGAGAAAGTGGAAGACAAGCCCAACGAGAAAGTGGTAGATGCAGAGAAGGTGGACAAGGACCAGGATACCAAGGTGGAAGAAAAAGCAGAAAACAAAACAAATGAGATGGCAGAAAAATCGGAGATAAAGGATGACAAAGGCCAGCACAAAGTGGAAACGACTTCAGAGCAGCAGCTTCACCCCACTGACGATAAGACAGAGACGAAGGCCGATGTGGAGCTGAAAACCAAGGAAGCAGCAGAGAAAGAAAAGACCGACACCGGGGAAGCCAAGACGGTGGAGAAAAAGGACAATGCAGCCAAGCCTCTGGAGAAGCCTGCTGAAAAAGAAGCATCGAAGACAGAAAAGGAGGAGAAGGTGGATAAAAAGACAGTAGAGAAGAGAGACGGTAAGAAGGAAAAGGCTGTCAAAGCAGATGGAGACAAGGCAAAGAAACCTGTGAAGACTGCGACCAACGGAAGCAGCACAACAGCAAGCAAGGACCTGTCAGCTGGAGACAGGAAGACCAAGGTAGGACTTATTCCATGCAGAGGCGATCTACCCTGGAGGCTGTAGATCGCCCCACATGAACCATCAAAACGAGTCGCAGTCATGTTTTCAGAAGACTGCATTGCCGATACAGATTCAAATATAATCCATCAGTCCAGTTCTAAACAGAGAAAGTCTGACTTGCACCAAAAACTAAACAGAGTTATGATTCATTACAAACAAAGAATTACACATTCTTGAAACATTTGGAGGTTATTATTTATGAGCTGAGCTTTACCACAAAATCCTGATGCACCAATCAAATATTTTGTGACAAATTTCCACCTGCTGATGAACTGGTTTTATACAATTACCAATTCTCTTTAAGAACTACATTAGGAGTACACATATAAATCAGACCCGATTTCCTTAATTTTGGGTAACGATGACTGGCTGACACATTTGAAACCAATCTTATCTACCTCCACAGATGTCTGAATCACCTACTGTCCCCTTTCTCTCTGCCTTGAGGGAGGACTGATTGATCCACCCACCAGGTCATGTCTGCACATGTGCAGCTAACAATTATCATCCCACTCTTGCCAACTTAGTGACTTTGTCGCTATATTTAGTGACTTTTCAGACAAAAAATAAAGTGGCGTTGACCAAAATCTGAATTGGCAGGTGAGACTATTTAAAGAACATGATCAGTGATCAGCCAGAAAAATTTTATCAGTGTACCCCTACAAAATATTTTTCCAGTAAGCACAATAAATTAAAGTTTTGACCGCCTTAAAATGAAATGCTTAAGCTAAAACAATATCTCTGTCAAAAACAGCCCACAGCTGGAGAACACGCCGTGTCTTGCATCACTAAAGATCTGTAAATACAGTAAAATCCTCCAGGTTTAGAGTGCAGAGCTACTTGGGAATAAACATAAACATTAGACTTGAACTATATCAGGAAAACATGTTATTGTAACGCATTCCTTTTTTTCAGCTCAATGTCTCAATGTCACAATGTCAGTTTATTAGCTTTAGCCTCACAACCATTACAGATTTTGCACCAAGCTTGGGAATTGGCCGCAGTGAAATCCTATCCAGCAAGGCAGATATATTACCGGCATCCAGAATTTGCATGCCTGGAATGTAATACCTATGCAAATATTTTTAACAAAATGAATACTTGCGAAGGACTGTTTGGATGCACAAAGTTCTGAAGTGTTGTTAAATAATGAAATTCTGGTTGTTAGCCTAATTTTTCACAGGTGCTTACAAATCAACATCTTTAGAATTTTATATGAGTGAATTGCAACTTAGCACATTTAGCACACTCGGCTATGCTAGCTGCAAACATCTACATTTACCTTAAATGTGAGATTCCAATAAAACTGCTAACATTTTCTAATCCAGCATCTTCTGGAACAGATTAAACTGGACTTTTCTAGAGGATAAGACACAGCAACTTAGCCAAGCTAAATTCAGCCTTCCTGAAATTTGCTTACTTCTCCCTGCTTGATTTCACTAAGTGACAGCTTGAATGAACATTTAACACATCTTTTCCATTTTACCCGATCACCTCACTGATCCTGAATATAGCTGGATATATCAGATATATCAGAATATATCAGCGATTGGAAAAAAGGCTGGATATTTAACTGGTAACTCATCAGTCATCAAGCATTTACAGTATGCACTGTTTATGCTTCAGATTCCAGTTTTGTTTCTCTTTATTTTAAGCTTTTATCCTTATACTAAAAAAATTCACAGCATATTATTTTGACATTTTTTTCTTGAATTGCTGCTTGCACTTCTTAGTCCCATTGCCGCTACCTATGATTTGATGTTTTATTTTTTTTCTGTTTGCTTCTCTTTATTTTGCCTTCCATCACTGACCTGTCGTGGCAGCCCGCCACAGGGGTGACCAAACTGGTCGGTGCTGCCAAAACGCGGCCAGCCACCGCTCCTGCCAGTGGCTCAGCCGCAGCCACCGCCAAACGCCCCACACCCACCTCCACCAGCACTACCACAGACAGAAAAACAACCACACCCAAGACAGCTTCCATAAGCGCTGCTGGGCCTAAACGACCCCCAGCCAGTTCCATTAGTCGTCCGTCATCCCAACCCTCCACCACCACAGGCACTCGAGACGTTAAACCGAAGGTAAGCATGCAGGATGAAGGTTTACGAAAAGCTCTGTAGGAACAATCTGAAAGTTTACTTCACACAACTAGATACATATTACATTTTTGCTGCCTCTCATACATGGCAAGTTTCTTCGGCACACTTTCATAAAGACCAGATTTATGGAACACACAACCAATAGATCATTTATCAACAGATTCTCCTGCCTGAGTTTTGAATCTCTGCAGTTTGTCCAGAGTTAACAGAGAGCATTCAAAGGTTCAAGGGTTCAAAGGCAGATGGCTCACATGTCTTAGATGTCACCTTTGGTCAACACACCAGAATCTAATGATCAGATGATGGATTGACCAGTGCTGTGTGAGCATGGGACAGGGATCCCTAACCTAACACTGCTTTAACAAATCCACATCTGGCCTGAGTTGCATGTTGAAGGTCATCATGATGTTGTGAGTTCACTAGTGGACTTTAATACTTATTCTGGATTTGCAGTTCGATCAAATTACATAGATGTGGACTCATTTTACACTAAGGTAAAAGGGGCTAACTAAGATGCACATTACACTTTTAATTTTTTATGTAGAAAAACAAAATTAGAAAACCACAAATCATTTTCTTTTATAACTGTTTGCCCAGGTTTCATAAAACCATATATAGTTTATTGATTGATGTCTGTCATTTTCGCACCATGACCCAGTGGAGTCCATTCAGATGTTCAATCTTGAGAAATAAATCAGCTTCAGTTGTGCAACTTGCTTTGGTTATTTTACCTTTTCTCAATTAAAATGGCAAATTCCTAGAAGCATTTAAAAACTTCCTCAGACTAATTGTTTCTTCACTTTGTACTGTAGGTTACAGTTGTAACAAGGTTGATGAAGTTTCTTGAAATCCACCTCTCTGTCCCCATCTGTTGGTGACCTTGTCAAATACAGCCAATATGACAGTAACCCAGGCGCTGACGGCCTTTATTTAGCCCGCGGCCCCCTGGGGTGCAGGTGACTCAGGATGGCTGGGCTGGATTTGGAGCATGGCATCATCCAACGGGCTACATGGTGATGCAATCATGTTTAACAGAATGAAATCCTCTTTCTTCATGACGTGAAATGATAGATTTTAAAAAGGATGCAGTTACATTTTTATCAACTTTGAAAGCCCCGAAACAGGGGGGCTTGTAAAGAATCTAATATAAAAACAGATGAAAAAGTCTGACCTGAATTTCAGTCAGTCAGCAGCCTTTGAATCACCGCTTCTCTGCTCTCTTTTCTCACATCACAGTCCACCACAGAGAAGCGCCCCTTGGTGCCGAAGGCCGGCAGTGGCACCACGAGTCACCCTGCCTCCGGCCCCGCTACCAAAAACGGAACGGGGAGCACTGCAGCCAGCAGAACCGCTTCATCGGTGCGCACAGCCGCGTCCACTCGCACAACTACTACTACTGCAGCCAAAAAGCCTCTGGGTACGTCCAGTTTGGATGACATAACCCAGCTATTGCACGTCGGCCTCTTTCTCATTGATTCATTTACATCTTTTCTCACAATGTCTGTTTCAGCCTCTAAAGCTGACAGCAGCAAACCAGGAGAAGAGAAGAAGCCCACCACTGTTAGGACTTCAACAGGTATCACGAAACTGCACCAGTTTATATTCATAAATTATGGACACATCATCATGACATCACACATCTTGATTCATAAAAATACTAAGTGATATCAATCAATTTTCTTCAAAATGACCCTTGAAATTATAAGGTCAGACTTGAATACACCACATTTTTACTGCTACAGTTTTACTCCAGCTTTTGGTTTGAATATATTAATTCTTTATTTCCAGCGTCTTGAATCCTGTATTCTCCTCTTCTATCTTTTAAGTTATATTTTAATGTTATACATCTCAGGGATACTTTAGACAGCAGTTATAAAGCTGAGTGACTAAAAATCAAATGTGGGGTTCCTCAGGGCTGTCTTCTTGGGCCATTTATAATCAGTATTTGCATGCTATCCTTAGCCGTCTCAGTTAACTGAGTTAACTCAGTTTCAGTTAAACTCCGTCTCCGTCTAATGTTTGATTCGGTCCTAGCCAAGACTGGTGTGTCTCCATTGGGAGTGTGTTCTCACTATGTTGACTTCAATATGTGGAGGAACTGGGACATCTTTGCAGACCGTGTTTGTGCAGGAGCTGTGGTCGACGCTCCCATGATATCAGTTATGGAGAAAGTGACTCTCAGGTGGTCAGTTTCTCCAAAATCTACCAGTTTATGTTGTTCGTTGTGGGTTTCCCCATCCAGTTGACACTGTGTGTGCTCTTCTGTCACAATTGATAAAAAGGTTTGGACCTTAAGGTTTGACTGTGGAATTATTGATTTATAGCTTGCATACTACTACCAAAAAAGGTGATTAAAATGTTAAGATAAATCCATGGCTCAGTTAATGAATATGGTCTGCTGTCAATCAAATTGTGTGCAGTACCTGGCTCAACCCGGCTTGTACCACATCTGGAGATGAGGGAAAGAACTGGTTAAAGTCACACAAAGTACTTTACACCTCCTGCTAACATGGGTTCAAAAAGCCAGAGCTCCCTGCCAAGCTCCCATTTGACCACCATTTTGTTTTTAAAATGATACATTTTAAAAACTTATTATAAGATTGACTTTGAATGTTCTTACAAATTAGATAGACTTTCTTTGCCTTACAGGTTCATTGCTTTTGTTGACGATGGACCCCAGTAGAGTGGGGTAACTGAGTCAGACAGACAGTCCAACCATGGCTCTGGGTCTAGTAGAGAAAGACTTTGCTGCTGAAAAGCTCCATAGACTTTTGAAACCTCCAGCACAGCAGCCTGTGGATTACCAGCTGCTTGCTGTTGACAGGAGTTTGCAGCTCTTGCTGATGCAGCCTCAAGTTGTCTAATCTGCCAGGGTTCGTATATAGAAAGTCAAATTACTCTTAAGCTCCGTCAAAGCAATGGGGGCGGATTTCCTCAATTAAAGATGTCCTGAAAAAGAGTCAGAGATATTCCCTAAGCTTTCAGGGAGGATTGATAGCACAACATGTGATTCAGCATGGCTCAGCAGTATGAAGGAATAGCTGACAAGAGGGGCCAAATAAATATGGATGACAGATTTTCTTTGGCACAAATGTAGTGCCTGAGTGCATCTTGCCTGTGGATGCTGAAGTCAAAGATATTATGTTAAATCGGCTTTACCCACACAAGAGAAGATTTTAAAGTCAAGCCGTGAATATTTGCCTTTAATAATGGTGATTCCAACATCCTTCTGCTTCTTTTTGTCTGTCCTGTTTGCCTTTCTGCTTGTTTCTCAGCTTTTTTTCGTTTTTCATTTCACCGCCTGTGTCTCCTTTGTCATATCTGTCAGAGTTGAGAGCAGAGAATGCTCTTCCTGTTTTTCTCCTCTTCTATGTGTGGCAACTTGGATAACTCAGCCTTGTTTTTTGCAGTTATCTGGTCGCCTTTGGATTAAGCGAGAAATCTTAAGAGACTTTGAAGTTCTTTAAGAAATCCTTCCTTCAATAGTGTTGATTTTTGTCTTAAATGTAATTTTCTTCCTCATAAAGTAGATTTTGTGAAGCTATTATTGACACACAAAGTAGATTTAGAATGTTTCCATTCATACACACATATAATAAAGAACGTAATGTGCCGTCATGCTCATTTGTTTTTGTTTGTTGATATATTTAAAGAATGTGTCAAATCATTTTTGCAATAATTTTTCAGTTCAAACTCACTTTAATGTAGGACTGCTCTGACTGCACACACCCGTTGCCATAGGAGCTGATTGACTCCACTTGTGTATCAGGATTCAACACCAAAACCATGAAAACATTTCCCACACACACAAAAAATAACATTCAGTCTGTTACAGTACTCTGTTTTCAGGCCTGATGTTTATTTTGCAATAAGTGATCATGTTATCACAGCGATGATTGATTGGTTCATTTAAATACCTGCTCTACTGATGATCTCTCAGAGAATTGGTGTGTGGGTCGCCATTTTTTTTTTTAGCTGTGAACCAAATCACTCCAAATTCTGCAACACGTCTACGTGTTAATGTTGTCAAACTCAAGCTAGCATAATTAACTTCTATTTCCCTCACTATTTTTTTTAACTAAAACTTTTTACTAAACTATAAAAGTTTGTTTTTTGTTATCTAGTTATCATAGTGCTGACAATTAGTAGCCAAGCATTGCATCCTTTTTTCTTTTATATATTACACGTACATTTAAGATTTAGCATGTTATGTTGGCAGCTTGACAGCTAAAACCACTGGTAGTTATCGTCCTTCGCCCTCCATGAGAAAGCATCGGGGGCAGGTTGCAACATAGAGGAACAATAAGATTGCAAATTCCTAAACTTGTTAAAAACAATTAGAACTACATTAAGGAGAGAATTTTGAATGCACTGTGTAAACTTTCCCTCCAGCTGACTCTACCAAGCCCAAGACCACTTCCACCACCTCAAGGAGCACGATTTCCACCACTGCTGCGTCTCGCATTCGAACAACAGCGACCAAACCGGCTACGCTGTCCTCCGCCACGGCCACAGCAGCAGAGAAGAAGCCCCTGGTGCCCCGCACCCAGCGACCCACTGCATCCACGACAGCGAGCGCCACCACGAGGCCCACGGCTCGGCCCGGCACAGCGCCAGACCCCGACATCCGTAACGTCCGCTCAAAGATCGGCTCCACTGATAACATAAAGCACCAGCCTGGTGGCGGGAAGGTAGGTCCTGCTGTGTCTGATGGACTTCTCGTTCAACTGCCTTACTCTCAGCATGCAATTTCTGATTCCGATTCCAAATCCTCCCAGACTAACTGGAAGTGTTCTCAAACTGCAGGGTCTGTGATTAAAATGGTGCAGTGTCTCCCGGAGTTGTCTCTTTACTTGTGTTTCTTCTAACGCTCTTCTCTTTGAGCAAAAGTGTCTTCATGTGCAGCCAGTTCTAAACATGTTGGCTCCTGGTCGATTCAGCCCTTCGTGGATTTGTACCCATAAACAAACCATTTCTAACTTACACACTAAAACCATTTTGTTTCTGGTTATTTTTGTTTGTAGTTGAATGCAACAAAGAATTCGAGTATGACTGGTGAATAGTCATAAAATGCTAAAATCTCATAGCATTTTGCATGTGCTATGAGAAGCCGTCATGAGTTTCTCACTTTTTGATTATCATAATAAAAAATACGACAGTTGGTGTCTATATTAACAGAAAATTTTCAAACGAAATGTACAAGACCTAATGAGACTGAATGTTAGCTCTGTTGCTAGTTTGCATGTTTTACCACAGTCCTCTCCTGGTACTCCGGCTTCCTCCCAAAGTCCAAAAATATAAATATCATGCTAATTTATCTCTCTAAATAGCCCTCATGTGTAAGAGGTGTGTCCATGGGGATGGCCACGCCCCCACATCTGATGGATGGTCTACTTGCTTTTAGTTTAAACAGATAGCCAATGGTTGTTCGAGAACATATTTTCATAAAGAGTTAAAATTGACAATTTTTTAGTTTCTTAGGCTTTTTTTGTGTCTTGAAAACATGTAAATGGCTAAGCCAGTTTTCTCTGTAGGCTTGAGAAAAACATTTCCAAGAGATATAAAACCGCATTTCAGTACATTAGACCAGAGATAGAATATCTACAACTAATTTAAACCATATAAAATATAAAATATGCCCCCAGCTGCAACAAACTGATGAAGGAAACATTGAGTGTGAAACAACCAAAACTGGGCCAAAATGACCAGCACCCAACACAAGTAGAAATGGTCACTATCGTCATCATCTTCTCACCTCTCACCTTTTCCTCTGCATGTTAACTAACTGCAATAAACACTCCATAGTAACGCTTTCACCCATCGTGCCACACACGATCCACCCTCAAAGGTGTCATTTGCATACACAAAGACCTGATCATAAGTTACCCTGAAAACATTTTGACTGCTTCAGGAATAAAATTCTCATTGAACTAACTTCCTAGATCAATGCATTCTTCTCTTGTTTCCCCCTATCTGGGCCTAATTTTACTAATATTCCCTCCACCTTTGGACTTTTTAGAAAGTTTCTTAATCTCTCTCACTCTTTTAACCCACTATCCACTGGCATTCACAAATGTCTTTGTGCACGTCGGCCGCCTCCTCTCAGTTTGTCTCTGCCAGTGGCTCTCATTGATCGGGGGCCGGCTTCTCTTCCCAGGTGGCCTCTGTTTCTCTGAAAAGGGGCGTCACCGCCAAAGAAAGCAGCCAGGGCAAAGTGAGTCCCCCTCCATTCTCCCCAACACGCACTTCCTTATGCTCTGTTCATTCATTCATTCATTCATTCATTCATTCATTCATTCATACGTTCATTAGCTGTTTTTTGATAGAAGCTTGACAAATCAGTCAGTCTGAAATCTTATTATCATGGTTCTAGAATGGTCAGGAGGGCGATTAACTGGATGTTAACTGGAAGATTTCTCGTCATGATATCAGGATAGATGTGTGTCCTTGTGATTCATGGGGGAAAGATGTATGTTACAGCAGATCTCACAGCTGTATTCCATAAAAACAATCCGTTGTTTTTCTCCCTCTGTACATTATCTCACTCTCTGCTTTATATTTGGCGCCACCTGCTGAATGAGAGTTGCATTGTCACCTATGGCATTGTCAAAAATCGGAGACTCCCATTGAGTCTTTGTTGACATTCATGGAGAGGCACAGATTTTCGTCATAAAGGTTCAGCTGAGCCAACAGTAGGCTGGACTGAGGCATGAATTAAGCCTCAGTCATTAGAAACAGTTTTGTTTTTTTTTTTCCATTTTATGTATTCTGCCATACTGTGTCTCTAATTCACAATAATTATCATTCCTGAGGGGGTCAAAATAGAACCCAGTATTATTTCAGCGTTTTAAACAAGTATTCTCTGTCATATCAAAGCTGTTCACTGTTTGCAATCATTGCCAGATCTTTGGAAGGGACAAAGATATTGTGGTATTTTGAGGTCTTTTTTTGTGTGTCTAAACAGTAAGTAATTGCAAAATTGCATGTTTTAAAGCATTTTTAAATTAAAAAAAAACTTCTTTTAAAACTAAAAGTTAATATAGAGTTGCTTTGACATGGTGGGTATCAACCTCAGTGTGAACTTCTTGTCATCACTTGGTTAGAATGAATCACAGTTCACTAGCCTCTGCTGCTTCACCTGCTTTTTAAGAACGGACCACATGATCTCAGTGTGTGGTTTACATCACAAGTCCCAAATTTCAGTGTTTGTCACTTTTGCCTTAGAATATATTTCACACAATACTGAAAAATGTGCAGGTCATCACCAAATTGTTGTGGAACCATCCCACTTTATTTATACCAGTATTCTCGACTAGAATGTTGAGGAAGCCCAGTTCACTTTGGATGATAAGCAACTTTACACATGGGTAGGATCAGAATGCTTTGCTACTGGCACCACACCCATAATGGCTAACCCATAGTAGATGTTTTTTCCTGGATGGAGGAATCCTCTTTGTTGTCCTTGGTGTCGCGTCGTGTTGTCCTAAAGTCTTTACCTCACTGTGCATTCACACCAAACTCTGCCATCTTGGTAACCTGATCCAGTGACTCTTAACGAGACTCTTGGTGCTCGCTGGACCCTCTTACACATCATCTTCATTGCAACTCAGTCTCTCCTAAAGCAGTTCTTTGCCTTCTTCTGTTAACAATTCCTTACTGAGAGGAGGAGGAAGTTAAAATCATCTCTTCCATCCATCCATCCACCCATCATAATGAGCAATGGTCATATTCCCATCTCCAACGTCTTCCTTCCTGGCTTTCTATCTAAACGGCCAGAAAAAGATTTAAAGACTGGCGGCAAAATCAAATGAGGTGGATTAGCAGTGCTTGCCAACAACTGATGGTGTCATCCAGGACACGTTGATATGTCATCTCTGCTGCCCAGATATTCAACTGTTGGCATGTCATGAGACTGTTATACAGTACAGTCTTCAGTCAGAGGCTTTTCCAAATTTAACTTCTATCAAAGGTCCTTCCTGTCCACGGCATCACCATTTATATCAACTCTGACTATATGAGTTACGCCAACATTTAGTTACTCTTTGTGATGAATAAGGTATCCTAGAATTACATTTTTAAAAGTGAATTAGCAGCCATTTGCTCTGTTGAACCTTGCTCTCTCCTGCTGTCTTGTCCTTTCTAACCTCAGCTGTGGTGGTTGCCTCTCCTATCCTGTCTTCCTCACCCTCTGCTTCACCTCTCCTGTCTAACTTCCTCCCCCTGTGCTACCCTTCCCTTCTTTGGCCCTTCTCTGCCCTCTCCATTCTTGCCGCTGTGCTGTACTCATATAGGTTCAAATAGTCTCCAAAAAGCTGGACTTCAGCCACGTCACCTCACGCTTGGGCTCCAAGGACAATATGAAGCATGTTCCTGGTGGAGGGAATGTAAGTACTGTCTGGGCCACAAGCTCTGCTCAGAAGCTCCAGTCAGAAAGTCAACAACTCGACTCAAACCAGAACAAAGATGACAAATTAGATTTTAATCTCCTAACTAAATGCAATTAAGTTCCTTTGCTCACTTTTCTAAGTCAGGTGGTGGTTCCTTGAATAATCATCGTAAGGGATCCAGGTTCTTAAGAATTTCATCACCAGATGAGGTCCCTTCTGCTTTCAAAAAATCCAAAGCAGGACTCCAAGTTTCAAGTTGATTCAGAAAACCAGTGGGTGACGTCACTGAGGCTCAAAGCACACCCTATGGCACCAGCGACCCCCACCCCGAATGAACCTGCTTCACCTTCCCCATGCTTCCTTAAACTTCCCCTCTGTCGCCCTGTTCTGCCACTAACCTTGATTGGCTGTGACTGTTTTTTTTTGTATGTGTCATTGTGTCACATTCACCCAGGTGTTTTAGGCAGCACTGGATGTGCTGGATGTACTGGTCCTATCATGGGATGCTTTTCTGGCCCTGCTTTCAAATACAGTAACTTCTAAGACTGGAGCTTTAATGCATTCATTTTGATTAATTACATAGATTTTAACATGTTAAAAATTTTTGTTGTTTTTTTGTTGTTGTCTGTTTGTTTTAATAAAAGTTCTGGTCAGAACCGTTGTATCTGTGCGTTTTTGGTACACTCAGAAATCTGATGCACAAGCAACATCTCGTGACCCACTGGGGGTTAATTTCTGCTTCAAAAGATCCATCTGATTGAGCCCTGTTGTGTTCAGGTTGTTCTAAAAGGAGTTAGCTCATCAGTGAAGCTATTCAAGCTTAAAATATCGCATTTCTAAACATGTAGCAGCAGCACAGACGTCCCCAGCGCTAATGTCAGCAACCACAGTCCACATTTCTAAAGAAGCTCCATGAATGATCGGGAGTTCCTGGAACACTGGAAAGATGAATGGATAGAATAGAACTTTTTGTAGCTTTTTAAATGAAGCTCTCATTTTTATAATGTTTTCTCAAGCTTGAAAAACTGACTCTTTCTAGTTTTCCTTCCTGAGATGAAGTAAACCTGGCAAAGGACCCTAACGTCAGTCTGTGCTTTCAGACTAAAAACTGAACTAAAAAAAATCTTTTTATCGACTTCAACAGGTGCAGATACTCAACAAGAAGGTGGACGTAAGTAAGGTGACTTCAAAATGCGGATCCAAGGACAACATCAAGCACAAGCCTGGTGAGCCAAGACTTGCTCTGATGCTGTTGTGTTAGTTAACTTTATAAATAGCATTTCCTCTTTTGAGCATATACGTCTTAAACCTGTGAAGTCATTTAAAATACCAAACCTTTACTTATTTCCCTAAAGAAGCTTTAATTGGCCAGTGAATGATAGAAACAATGGATAAAGAATAAATGTGTCATTTTAAAACATAACTGAAGGAAATTTTAGACCTTGTATGGGAATTTTGGGCTTTTTAATTACTTTTATGAGCTAAAATTGAGATAAGGTTTTAAGGCTTTGAATACATTTAAAGTCTGCAGAATCCTCCATGTAGAATTATTTGGCATGAAAGGTCAGTACCATGTTTGAAGTGAACAAAACACTGCATATGAACACCTACAGCTCATGGCATGGCCAGGCATAGTGGTGAAAAGTTAATAATTTGGGCTCGTTTTACAGACACAGGACCAATATCTTTTGCAGTAATTTTGACAGCCATTAGCTCCTTTGTATACCAAGCTAGTCTAGAGTTAAATATTAGAGACCATTTGTTTGAAAACTGAAGCTTTGTTGAAATTAAGTCATTAACAGGACAATGACGCCAAGAGGGTTGGTGAAATGGCCTAGTTAAACTTAGTTATTCTCTTGTTTTTGTGATGTATTAATAATACCAGGTATAAATTCATGAGACCCTGGTGAAGTTGTTTGCTTCGCATGTTCTCCTGATGTTTGATTATCAGTCTGATTGTTATTGTGCACTGCAGGTGGAGGCGTCATGAAGCTCGAGTCCCACAAAGTGAACATTAGGGAAAAGGCTCAGCCCAAAGTGGGGTCAGTGGACAATGTGAGCCATTCACCTGGAGGAGGGAACGTCAAGGTGAGGCGAGCGTGAAGAGTCGGCCTGTAGGGCAGAAACTGCTGTTTCTACGCTGCTGATATCTGAACAAAGCTAAGAGCTAAGTGTCTTCATTCCCTGCATGTCTGGTTATTCCTGTTGAATTTACGTTGAATTTACGCCTTTACCCAGTTTCATGAGATCAAAAACGAGTCATACAGTTAAATCGACCAATTGTAATAAAATTTTGTATGAAGTGCAGTCTAAATCTCTTAAAAACAAAATTTTAAACAGCATTTTAAGGTATTCATTTTATTCTGGTTTCAGCTGTAACCAACGGGTACCCACTCAAAGCATCCTCAAAGTGTTTCCAAAATATTTGTATCTTACACATTAACTTTTCTCTTTTGTTTTTTTTTCTCTTTTTGTAGATGTAAGAGCAGACTTCTAGGGTGTTGTCTTGTATTATTTCTATCCTTCTTTTTCTCCTGCACTCTTATTTCCTTCTTTCCCTTTAGACATTTTCTTTCTTTTCCTTTCTCTTTCTTTTCCATCTCCATATCTATTACATTTGAAATAAATCCAAAGCAATTTCTAATAAACTCTTGCACACTTGTGAAAGTAAATCTGTTAGGTCTCACCTCAGCACTGAGACAAAATAGCGCTATAAAAATGAACTGAATTTAATTAAAATTTTAATGGAATTGAATTCAAGCTACAAAAGGCACTTGGATCACTGCTGAAACTGCTGGCAGAGCATCCATGTGGTCTCATAGATGTAACTCTTTGTGCTTGGTAGACTTGGTTCTAATGGTTGCTTCAGTTTGAAGTCAATGAGGGAAGAGTTAAAACATTCCAAATGTTCAAAGCTGTGTGGGTTCAAGGTTCATACTCAGTATTTCACACCAGCTTTTCCAGTTTCCTATTCTTTTGATGCTAAAATCTTAGCTCTTTTGGCTTTGTGTGATTCCATCTCTTACCACCAGCCTGACGTATTTACCTTCACAGGAAAACTTGTCTGACTGGGATTTTCTTGCCAGGTTGTTCCATCCCCACCAACTGACATACCTATCTGTGTGTTTCTAGGCTGAGGGACCGGAGGAGACAGAGGGAAATGCAACTCCCATGACTAGCAGCCTGGCTCCGGCCCTGGACCCCAAGATGGGGCCGACAGGGACCCCCAATGCCCAGGAGAATGGGCTGAAGGACGGGGCTCCCAGTGATGGTGAGGGTGTCCGAGAGCCCCAGGCTCTGGACTCTCTAATGCCAGAGACAAGTAAGTTTCTATATGCGCTCCAAGTTTCCACTTTAGGTTTGATGACCTCATTGGAAACTCAGATGGAGGAGACTGACAGAAGAAGTCAAAGTTGCTCACAAATGTTCTTTTGCCAGGACCTATCCCCAAGACCAGGGGTTCCCAGAGCTGAGGGTCAGATGAGAGCTGCTCTTATTGGTACAGCTCTCAGTTGAACTAATTTTACTTTAAGGACAGTCCACAGCATTTCAGGAGGATTGAGACTGAGGACATTCCAGGAGGCTAATGTTAACCTGCTAGACCTTACAAAAGTAGTTTAATGTGTACTGGGTAACAATTTTCCCACTCTTTCCATTTTGCAAACTGATGATTGGTCCTCCATTGTCATGATTCCACCAATTGTGAAGCACCAAAACAGACCCACACCATGATGACACTCAAACTGTGCTTTGCAGTTGGTAGTGTTCATAGGTTTGAAAGCCTTATGTTGACTCCGCCACGGTGTTAAAGCTCCCACATACTCAGGCATACTGTGCGTATTCTGTGAGCCGCACGCTTTGTCCGTATACGGTTAAGAATTCATAGTCAAGCATACCGATTTCCCACATTTCTCATGACAAATTCCTTTTATATATCTAATTCGAAAGAAGCTAGCTGACATAGCTCAGGCGTCTTCTGGATCTGCCGGGGAGACGGAAGTCTGGACGTATGAAGGTCTCCCTCAATCAGGTTCCAGATAAGTGGATAACAAGTAGCACAAGATGGTGCTGACTCAACATCAACCTCTCGGTGCAGCATACAAAACAGTTGAATGTGAACCCTGTTACCTCTGAGCAGTTTACTTTGAGGCACCAAGTATGGAAAAACTGACCTTTGCGCGGACATTGAGTTCGCCTCGATTACGTCGGGGTGAAGTTTGTCAGAGTATGTGGGAGCCTTTATCATACAGTATCATCTCTGCGTATGCTGTGCCTGAATGCATCTGTATTTTTCATGAATGCAGTCCATCTGATTATATTTTGACTTTTTATCTTACAGGCATCTAATTCTGCTATCCCTCTGCCCTCCTCATTTCAACTACCCCCTATAACGTCACCGCCTCTCCCTCCCCTCTTTTCCTCACTGTAAATATGTTTTTTTCCTTCTCCTTGCCTCACTTTTATTCCCCCCCAACCCCCCGTTCCCTTCCCCCTAACCCTTCTGCTGCAGATTGAGTCTATCAAGCTCAACTTCCGCGAGAATGCTCGCTCTCGCACGGACCACAGCGCTGACATCACCATCTGGCCAGCCCCCCCAGGACTACGGCAACAGTTCCCGCCCACATGGTTCCTCGTTCTCCCCGCATGGTCAACCAAAGCCACCACCCAGATTCTTGCCTATCGAGTCTCAACTCCCCCTTTCCCCCCTCCTTACTGCACCTACAGGTGGAGGTCCGGGGGGACAGCAGCAGCGTCTCCGTGAAGGGATCCCAACTTTTTCAACCCCATTTAATCTCATGTCCATTATTGGAAAATTAGAATCATCGTGCAGTAGTGCTTCTTTCACATCGTCATGCGTCATTGCCTTCATCATCACCGCCACTTTCATGTATTTACCTGAAGTAACTTTAGACTCTGACTGGTCCTGACCGGTACTTTATGTGAAGGAAAATTCCAGGACGGCAATGATCTCTCTGAGTCTGGCATCTTGGAATCGCTGGCTTTCACGTGGAAACCCGGTGGTGGGACCTTCTAGAAAAACCACCATCATTCCCCCCTGCACTCCCACCAGGGGGCAGCAGCAGTCTCTTCAGTAGTGACCAGAACAATTCGGCTCTCCTATTGGATTCCCATTTTTTTCCTTGTGATTTAAGGAGCCGTTTTTTCCCCTCTGTAGCCACATATGCTCTACTTCTGTAACGTTGTAGTAATTCAGTATCCATTTCATCATGGCTTCCTCTTTCTTGATCATCATGCAACCATATGCAAGCGGACTTAACAAAAAAGAAGGCTTTGAATCATTTTAGCCAATTTAACTCTTTATTCTCTGTGTTTGTGATGAGGTGTTTGATTGAAAAGATTATATATAGAAATGAGCATCTGTGTTCTGTTTGGATCCTCTTTATTTCCTTCTTTCCATCAAGTTCCTTGACAATAGAACTAGGTTGTATTTATTATATCAATGCTATTCATAGAAAAGCAATACCACATGTGTTTTATTTCCTTTTCATCAAGTAGTGCTCAGAAAATCTATGAAACACGCACATGTTCTTGCAAACTAAGACACACAGTGTGAAGGAGATGAAGAATGTCGTAGAACGTTGAGGAAAAGGTTGATAGATGAAATACAAAAGGAATTTCAGAGTCGAGGTTAAATATCAGATACGTGGTCAGTGTTGTGACTGAAGAGGTTTTAAATAATATAATATAGAACGTTTGCTGAAGCCAAGAAGCTTTCACTGAGTCCAGAGGGAGATGAGGGCGATGCAGTTCAGATTGCTTCTGAAACAAAAGGAACCAAGTGTCTCATATGTGCCTCCTGTTTGTCTTACCTTAACAAAAAAAGAACCCCAGTAGATAAGAGTGATGCAGTTTCACGCCTAAAACAGCTTAGAGAGAGAGAGAATATGGTGGCAGATGAAGAGTTGTTCTGTTCTGAGCAGTCTGGTTCTGGTGTTGCCCTGGTTGACTGTTCTATTTTTAGGTTTTTCTGTGCAGGTCAGGTTAGTGTGGTTTTGGGAATTCGCTCAAGATTCAGTTAAATTTAGAAATCATCTACAGTACTCTGTGTTCAGTTCTCTTCTTGTTGGTGTACTGCCATTGGGATATGGTCTTACTTTATTCTCTTCTCTTGTAGCAACCTGTTGCCTCCTGATGCCTTTCTGATGCATGGCTAGAAAGTAGAAACTCAACCCCAAACTCAAAGCTCATGGGTTTTACTCCAGGTGTTGTGTTTGTGCTTGCATAATTTTAAAAATAGAAATTAACAGGAAGTTCTTGTGATGGTTTGGTTTTGAGATTTAATTATGCTGCTCCAACATTGTACATACTGATTACGCAACTTAACTATTGTTGAAAATCTTTTAGCCGAATGATATTTTGGTAGGTTATCAGTGGTCATTTGATTTGTAAAATATGTTTATCAATACTTTTAATATTTTGCTTTGATATATCCAGGATATTATAGGAAATATATATTATTCTGTGTAGCTAATACATACATATCACAATATGTAATTATTACATGGAGCTTGTTAGCAAACAATGCTACATTAGCAATTTTTTCAACATGTTAAGCAAACAATTTTAAGCTTACCATTTTACTTATAGCCAGCTTTTCAAAAACTATTTGTCTTCTAATATTTCCGTATTTTACAGGCTTTACCATGGTAACCTGCTAGCTAACAGCTTCACCTGCCAGCTAGCGACACTTAGCTAATCTAATTTGAGCATGAGTTGACATTTTTTTGCTAGTACACTCTAAAAAATGTCATTGTCAAAATAATTTGGTTCTAAATGTGGTTACTAATTCATGAACTAGAAACCAAACTAGCACTGAGTTCATGAAATAGCACCAAAATGCAACATTTTAAAATGTTGAACCAGCTACTGAATATTTTTTCTGTTCAAGTAAAAGTGCTTTATTATTATAATAAAACTATGTTACTGATTGTTTTGGATTAAATTTAGAATGTAAATTGTCTATGTAATAGACTAAAGTGACATTTTGTTGAATATCATACCTGGAGTCGGTTAAGGGCTCTGCATGGTCACACCGAACTGTCGAAATCAATTCTCAGTGTTGCCGCTGCCGCATGACAGAAATCTAGTCATTTTGTTCTCAGCTTTATGTCATCAGTCTCTTTTTGTCACAACCCCCTTGGCAAACTTTTCACTCCTCTCTTCGAGGAAAACTATCATGTGATTAGTCTTAACTTCGTAGTTGTGTTTACACGGAAAACAACGCTACTCAGCGGTTCGACCATTAAGGGCCCTTAACACTCTTGTTTCTTGCTCCTTTTCATAAGCCCAAAACTAGTCAGCCATTTTTAGATCAGAGCAAATTTACCATCACAATACTGTTTCAGTCTCAGAGATGCCACTGTAGTTTATGAAAACTCTGAGAAAGCCAGAAAATGCTTGAACCTCTTGCAAAAGCAAATCCTCGCTTGAAAAATATTTTACATGTTACTGACTGCGTATAATCTCACTTAAAAATAACAGATCAAGTTCATTTTACTAAGTAGTGTAAAACTAAAGGCAGGTACTCACTGGTACTTAAATTCTAGTTTTATTCTTCTTTTTCACATAGATGTGGGCTCTGGATATCTAATATTCAGAAAAATTCAATTGTCACTGCAATTATTAAATTGCAGTGATAATTGAATTTGAGTTTATTAAAACTCAAATTTATTAAAGACAAATTTAGTTACACCTGCGTAATCCTTTAAAAGAGAATATGTTGTTCAAAATATTTGACAAACCCGCCCTTATCTCTAAACCTGGTAAAAAGTGCATCTCTTTAATCTCTGTGCGACTTCACATGCTTATTTTGGATTAGCTTTTCAGATCCTGAAGTCAAGATAACATCATTCTGTTGTCACAAAGCTTTAATGATCCATCACAAGAGGTATTGTCAAGAATTCAAAGTCACACTTCAGAATCTTTATGTAAAGGAATTTTTTTTTATCAAGTTGATATGTTGCTGTTGCTTTGATGAAACTAAACTGCACCTTAATGCTTTTAATCATATATCAAAGAGGATTAATTGTGATGTAGTGGTAATTCCACATTTTATGAATAGTAACTCGAACATGAATGAGCTTTCGCTTGGTAACAGTAACCTGTTTGTCAGTTTTACCTGATTTCTTCATATCGTTCCCATTATAGTTCCTGTAAGTCTAGTAATAAATTGTACACATTCTGACACACATAAGCAATAGCTTGTAATTTCATACGGAAAAAGTTGTTGTTGCTAAAGGCGTAGCTTTGATCTCACGGCTATTTTCTATCTGAGCTCTTCCACGTGCCTGTCCGTAACTAAAACCCAGCTTTGCTTCTAGCCACAAGTTTCTATTCGCCTCTACTTCTGAGATTGTTCATAGATGCACTGTTATTCGCCCTGAAAACTACGAACAAACAACGTACAGCTGCAGTTATCGGTCCGTAGGCGGGAACCTTGCTTTAATTTCCATGTAGCTTTGCTGGTTTTTATGGGAGGAAGCGTTTTTATCATGACTGTTATGGCTGTTATTCTGAATACTTGTGACAACATGGTAAGCTTTGGCCTGTGTTTTGTTTTGTTTTATTTTTCGAAAGGGGCCACTGAAGTGAAAGAATGTCTGTCGAGATAAATTGTGCTAAAGACGCAACACTTTTGTACATGTATTTATCGTTGTGTTCCTGTAGCCTCGTGGCGGTTTCGCTCTCATGGTTGAAGGGGCTCGAGGTGTGAGGTTTTTTGTTGTTGTTTTTTTTTTGCTGCAGTTTTACAGTTAGCATTGGAGAAGATACCTGTCAACACAAATCTGTATTTGATTTCATTTGAAGTGCTGTAACGGCTTTATACATAAATACTGAAGTGGTATTATAGAACCTAATTAATTACAATATTTTTAACATATTTTCTTGTACTTGTGTGTGCTGCCACAAGAAGCCCAGTCTTAAGAGATGAAAATACTGGAGAGAATAACTCGAAAAGTAAGAATGCAGCGACCCTGCTGGTTTAAGGATAAAGTTAAATGGAACTGGAATTAAAAATTGATGTACATGAGGCTGACAAGTTAAGGGAGACGATACTGGCTAAGAATGGCACTTACAGAACAGCAGCCTGTCTGAGAGAGAGAGCCTAACACACAGTTAGAGCTAGACAACTCACTGTAGCACCTGAAACCTTTCCGAGGAGCGTCGTGGAGCTTCAAATAAACATTTAACACTAGCTAATGAATAACTGCTATACCTGCAGAGCATGCTGAAAACCAACAATGGCTTGTGTTAGGTAGACTTTCTCTCATTTACAGAACTTCCTCGATTTTTTTTTTGTTTGTTTGTTTTTTGTGTGGGATTATGTTTTTCTCAATATTTTGAGTTTTAGTTTTGGTTTTGAAAAAAAAAAGTGTTTATTGTGATTACTTGTTAATTAGTGATGTGATTATTAAGCATAAAATAAATTGGACTAAATTTCATATTTGTGTTAAATTGTATTCTTTGCAGTTGTGGCTCAAAGATGCACAGTGACCAGTTTTTGCTAATGACTACAAAAAAAAAACTTTTAGTTGGAAAAATTCATGACAAAAAGCCTTTTTCACTATATCTTAGCCCTGACACAAATGATCATTTAACTTCATATGAGCACATGTAAAGTTGGGAAAGAGTCCTGCTGAGTCCTAGCACTAGGACAATCTTCTCCTGCCTGCAGATTTCTGTAGCTGCCAGTGCAGAGCTTGCGCAACATCAATAGCAGGTGAGTGTGGGTGCATCTGAATGCACAGTTAGCTGCATCTCTGATAAGTGCTCAAGTATCTCCCAGGGGAAAATATTGAAATTTTAGACCTGCTGTCAGGAAACTTATTAAATCTGAACCCCACTAAGAATCAGGATGACTTCACGTAACAGGAAGAGGAATGCTGTTTCCCTCTTTCCGTTTTAACTTTTTTCCACTACTTCCCTTCCATTCTTTCCCTCACCACATTGTTTGGTGTGTTTTTGCATTACTTCTGTTAGACGCTAGGGGGCAAGCATGTTTTAACTGATATATAAGAAGGAAGAAGACACTCCCATATACTCCCATGTATTACCGCCAGTAGGCGGCGGTAATACATACCTAACGTCAAGGGGAAAAATCAAGAAGAAGACGACGGTTACCGGGGTAACGTCAACATCGCTCGAGCTACTGAATGTTAGCTTCAGTTAGAATGGTGTAGCTTTTCTGCTTTCATTTAACGGGTTCTACATTATTTTTTGACCACACTGCAACAGTCGGAGACCGGAGCAGCTTCAGTAACCAAAGGAAATTGTCAAAGGAAACTAATTAAAGGGTCGGAACTGAGATACATTTTCCGAGGCTAAAGGTAAACTGGTAATGTTAAGCAGTAGTTTGAGGCTGAACTAAAAGTCATTTTGACATGAATATTCGCAGGATTAGAAAAATGTTTAGATTACAGGAGCAAAGAGCTTCAAGACAAGCGAGGACGTTAAAAGGATAACTGCTCCTCTGGTCTAAAAACGTAACAGTAATATCGATGTGACTGTTCTCTTGTTATCAGTTATCCATCCCTTTGTTTCAGGCATCATGGCGAGCCAGAGACCACCTTCCGGCATTGCGAGGCCGATGAGTCGGAGTGGATCTGCGGTTTCTGGTGCCGGGAGACCCCCGACAGCAGTGCGACCTCCTCCCACCGCTATACGTGTACCAACCGGGGTAAAAGCTCCGCGGCATCCCGGAGTCTTAGTTCTCATTGCTTAACAGCAAGCCAGACATGACGACTAAACTTTCACACTTCTACAGTGCAATACAAACCTTCAGTAAGCCCGAACCACCGAGGGAACATGTTGAATAACTAACATAAAGACTCAGATTCCTATGTGACGATATGAATTTTTTTGTCATTAGCTTAAGAAAAAGCAATACTCTTCATCAGTTAAATAAAGGCTTGAATGGATATAATATGAGTTCTAAAAATATATCGAATTCATGACCTGCTGTACTTGTATAAAAATAAGAAAATGCCAAACAGGAAAGATACGAATGCTGTCCTTATGCTGGGTTTTTAATCAAAGAGTCATTCGTTTAGTGATGTTTTCCAGATGGTTCCAACTACCAGTGGGCACCCAGGTATGAGAGGGGCCATCCCTTCTCCTGGAGTCCTGTCAGCAACCATTAAAGTGGCTGACAGGCCCGTCACCCAGCAGGGCCTCAGTGGGATGAAGACAGGAATGAAAGGTATAGTTAAAGTGCCACCAGGCTTGTCTTTGTCTCTAAATAAACTGCTGTTTGTGGACGGGTTCCTTTTTTATGACCAAAAGTAACAAAGTCACCAAGACGTTACCTCTCTCTCCCTCTTTCTCTCTTTTCTGTCACTTTGTCAACTTTGTCCCTCCTGGCTTCCCTTTCTGAAGGGCCTCAGAGACAGATTCTGGATAAATCCTACTACCTGGGTCTCCTCAGGTAACATGATAGCCAGCAGATTGTGGCCACATTTACCAACACAATCATTTCTTCTAATAAGCTGTTAAAGTGTGAATTTTTACTTTTAGTTTATGTAGGGAACAATATTGTTAGGAAAATAAAATGAAGCAAATTCACATGTAAAATAAAAAAGAAAAAAAAACTTGTGTGTTAGCTAAAGCAGCATTACATCTCATCCCTTCAACCTTTTCACATTTTCTAACATTACAACCACTGTCTTTATTTAATTTCATTGGTATCTCATTCAGAAGACAAACAAAAATATTAATATCCTTATAGATTTAAAATTATCTTTTAACTCCACCAAGTGTATCCGATCACCCATCTTTAAAATGTCCGACCTGCCGATTCCAATTTTGGCTGATACCATTTTTATTTATTTTTTGTTTGTTTGTTTTTTTGTGATCTGAAAAGTTGCTTAGTTTAGTGACAGTCATTCAGACCTGGTGGGTCTGTCAGTCAGCTCTCTCTCTCTCTCAGCAGAGCAAAAAGAGACAAAATATGGAGAATATGAAGGGGTGTGAATAATTTTGCAAGGCACTGTGCTGTGTTACTGCAGAATATTTCAGAAATCTTTCCATATTTCAACTTTTAGGCGACACTATGACGTGAAAGTGAATGTTTCTCTTGTTTTCACCATTAGGAGTAAAATCAACGAGCTGACCACAGAGACCAGCAAACTGCACAAAGAGATAGAGAACTTCAACCAGGAGAACTCCGTCTATGTTTCCTATGAGAAAAGGTCTGTGATGGATTTATCCACTATTATAAAGATGCAATCAGCGAGTTTGAGATCAAATCCATTCGTATTATAAACCTTTTTCTGTTTGTGTGTGTTGCAGGGCAGAGAGTCTGGCTGCAGAGATTAAGGACCTGCAGGGCCAGCTTGCTGACTACAACATGGTAAACAGGAAGCACCTGTCTGCTGTCACCAAGACTGTAGCATCAGTCTTGGAGATGATCTGGGAGTTTTTTTTATTATTATTATTCTTATTTACATCAAATCTGTTTTCAGCTGGTGGACAAGCTAAACACCAACACAGAGATGGAGGAGATGATCAATGACTACAACAGGGTGAGCATGACCTGGTATTGGTTAGAAAAGTTGCCCGAGGACACATTCAGCATTGTTCCTCATTGCTTCCCGTTTTACTTTGTGTTTTCCCAGCTGAAAGCGCAGAACGACATTGAGGCACGAAGCATCGACAGCATCTTCACAGAGAGAAGAGAGTATGGATCATTCAGCTCATTTCACTATGTTTAAGCAGGCAGAGGTGTAACACAGGAACTGACTGAGGTCCTTCAAGGCAATGGCTTGCCAACAAAATATCACAGTAACCACGCAGGTTCATATTCACCATATCAAAATAGGGAAACCTAAACTTTTTCATCAAATATTCAGAATCAGGTCAGCATAAAATTGTTGGGCACACTTGAAGGAACAAAAGGCACATCCAAGCCTGTTTTTCATTTCCATCTTTTAACTTTTGTCTTTGATAGTGACAGCTGAAATCTGTCCTTAATGGAGTCAATTTGTGCCTGAATTTTGTCCCTGAATCAGAGTTTTATACTAAAACTCTGAACATAATATTACTCCTGGTAGTTAGATGATTTAATGAATTGCAGGAGTGGACAATCCATAGCACTGTTTAAATCATCTCAAGCCACTTTCAAGACATACAGGTCAAATTCAGATCACATCACATAGAAATATATATATAAAAATAAACATAATTCATGCAATTCCAATTACATACACACATTCATATTTGGATACATGAAGTCTTATTCAGTCATAACTAATAGAATACAGATTAAGATTAAGAAAACCCATCTGATTTCTTCAAAGCAAATGTGCTGACGGTGGGTAGGAAATAGTTTTAATGCATAAAATAAATGTTTTATGAATTAAAGTCATTATACACAAGTCTTACATTTTGTCATGGCAGTGTTACTTAATTTCATATGTAGTTTTTATTTTCCTGTTACTGGAGGCAATTGAGGCTACCACTAACTATCTGCTAATATACCCTTGCTACCAAGCACTAGCATTTCAGTGTCAGTCATATATAAGTGTAAATTTATAATCACTTGGATGGATGATGTTAGTTTTTGCCATTGGCTCACTTCTGTTGCTAACTCACATGTGTGTCAATGCATTTTGTGCCAAAGAAATGTTGAAGCTTGGCACTCAGGGGGTTAAGGCTGTAGAGAGCCATAAGCAGTGTGAGAAGCACAAAGCTGCTCCCAAGAACCACAAACAAACCTCAGAAATTTCATCATTTTTGCTACATTTGATTGTAATGCACCAGGATCCCCCAAGCATCTGCAATATTTCTAGTTTTTTTGGTCTTAAATATTATTCAGTGTTGCATTAAAAAGGTCTTAAAAAGTCTTTAATTTGATTTGCCAAAACCTGCAGATACCCTGTTCTTAACATGATTACACTGCTCATTTAATCAGACACGATGACACGGAGAAGGATCAGTTAACCTCAAACACTAATTCTTCACAGTACATAGAAGCTAAACAACAAACTTAGTTTACATAAGCTAGTTCTTTAGTTTATTAAACAACTACATTTACAGATCTAAAATTTATAGATTCAGTCTAATTTGATACCAGCCCCTCAATGAGATTCTGTTCCTCATTGTATCTCTTCCTCTGAATCCTCCGTCCTCTTGATGTATGGATCCTCAAAATATCCATCCTCCTCGTCTTGTTCCTGTATCCGATGACTCAGTTCCTCAAAAGTGAACGTCTGCTGGCTCTCGCACCCTCCTGTCTCACTTGGCATGGTGTCCTGGCCCTCTTCTTCATCGTTTTCAACCAGTCTCCGATGTCTGTAGTTGTGGAAGCTTTTGTACCAGGAAGGTCCTTTGATGGCAGTGAGGATGAGTATGCAGGTGGTCAGGCCCAAGGCGGCAATGCAGGCTGTGAACTTCCATGTGTGTCCAAGTAAAGGTTTCTGACCTGGTTGCAGAGTGGAGAGAAAGAAAATAAAACTGTCAGTTTACCTAGTTGTTTTTTAGAGACTTAGGAAATGTTGTGATCCAACTAAGGTAGGGTTCCGGATCAATATGACTGTTAGGAACTTTTGGGTGCCATGTCAAAGGGAAGAATGACTTGCATAGAAGAACAGTGCATCATAGAGTATGTCTTACGTTTGCTGACAGTACAATTATGACTTGTTGAAGTGGTTGTTGGCGTATTGTTGATTTCTTTAAATTGTTGAGAGGTGACTGGTGGTGTTGGAGATTTATGGTCCGTATGCGCAATGACTGGTGATGATGTAGAACAAAGATTTATAGAATCCAGGAGATTTCTTCCTTTCTGCTCTGCTGGAGATGCACAGTTGACGTTTGGGCCCCCTAAAGACCAAGACATGGATAGAGTCATGCATGTTTTACTTAGATTTCTCAGCAACAGCTACTGAGAGGCTCTGTGTGTTTTTGCAAAGGAAGCTTGGTACCAAAAGAGATATTTGCTTCTTTCATCCTTCCAATGGTGTCAAGCAGAGAACAGGAACAGTTCCAGGGGTTTTCTTGTAGATTCAGGATCTGATGACAACACCCATGTTAAGGTTGGTAGATGCCAGGAAACACTTTATCAAATTTGAATCAGTTTAGCTTACTTAAGATAAACAATTCAAGTTGTTGCCATCCATTAACATCAGTGGAAAGCAGTAATTGGACTGACACCTTGGGAAGGTGTATACCTCTAGTGCCTGAGTCTTCCATTATAATGTGACAGTGACTAATGTTGGTAATGTCTGTTACACACTTCTGTAACCATCTGTGGCCAAGAATCATATTTATCACCAAAACCTGCCTGCATGTGGAATAAATCCCAAACACATGAGGCCATTCTTTCAGAATTCTTGAGGATATTTAGTAAATCTGGACAGGTTAGGCAGCTTGCTGACTACAACATGGTAAACAGGAAGTACCTGGCTGCTGTCATCAAGACTGTAGCGTCAGTCTTGGTGATGGGAAGGTGTATACCTCTAGTGCAAAGCTTACCTTTAGACTTTTTAAGTTGATGAATGTCTTGTCACAGAGATCCGTCAACTTGTTGTTGGAAAGGTCCAGCTTTTCTAGAACATCCAGTCTAGAGAAAGCCTCAGGATCCAGACTGGAAACCAAGAATCATCAATTGATTGGAATTTGTTGTAGAACTGGACACCATGCCCACTGCATTTAGCTTTCTTAGTTACCTGCTGATGTTGTTTCTGCTTAGAGATAGGACTCTCAGGTGTGATAGCCCAGAGAAGAATTTGGCCGGCACAGTAGTGACAAGGTTCTCACCTAAATACAGTTCAACTAGCATTGTATAAGTAGCCAGGGCTTGTTGGTCTGTCTCATTCAAAGTGATCTGGTTGCCTTTGATCACCAGAATGGAAACATTTGACTTGTCATTTGGAGGGATGACTTGTAGAAGCTTATTTGTCATTTTTTTGACCAGCTGAAGGATGGACAATAATTAGAGAACCATAATCAGGAGAAAATGAAACATTGACATCAAATATATTGGAGACCTGTCTATACTGGAACATTTTTTTTTCTAAAACATGAACGATTTTAACAGTGTGCGCCCCGCATCAACACGGAATCTACTTTTTTCTTTTAAACAGGTTCCAGAGTGAAAACTTTGTCCTCGTGTAGCACCTGTTTTGTGAAAACACCAACTTATTAGCCGACCTCTAACCCGACCTATAACGCCTAATTCGAGATACGTGTCAGTCTCAACTTTGTCATCACTCCACTTGGCGCTTTGCTGTTCGCCATTCTTGTTTTCTTGTAGTGTTTACTGCTGACCTTGTGTGGAGGTCATATGTGCGTGCTTGTTCCATTCTCTCCTGGGGCGCGATTTGACGGCTGTGTATGTGGCGACTGTTCCTGTATGGATGAAAATGTTTGTGGAAACACTCCTGTGTGGATGCGAGTGTTTTTGAAACGACAACCTGTTTTAGAAAAAGCGTTCCCATACAGACAGGCCCTAAAACTTTTCATACCGGTGCATCGCTTGCTTCTTCGAATTCAGCCACTGCAGAAAGGCACAGAAGGAGAAGAAGCTGCCAACATCCGTCCATTGTTTTACTCTGGAGAGAATAAAAACCAAGATTCATAGAGGAAATCATACTTTACTGAAGTAGAAAATAATTATGCAGTCATTCTAATGGAGAAAGACAAAATATTCACCAAACAAATCTAGCTACAGAAAACTAAATATTTACTCATAAATATTTAATCACCCAGGAAGCCATTACCTAGTACTTGTTGGAACACCTTTGTTGTCGAGCTCAGCAGCAGAATGTTTCTTGCAGGGCTTTGCAGTCTCCTAAAGTGGGATTTTGGTCCTCATATGAGTACAGAAAGTCATTTTTACTAGCTTAAAGCTTCATCATCAGATTTCTCTTCTTTAACTGCTCCTCTGTTGCCTTGGCGCAATGCTAAGGATTCTGCTTTCCGTATAGCATAGAAACTAAATCCAAAAATGCTGAATCCACAAAACGCATCTGCGCAACAACGGCCTGGACTTGTGGCTAATAGTGTCTTGCACAAGGATATGACAGGCTCATAAAGATCAGCTGACACACAGGACCAGAAGTTGCTTGGAAATGAACATTAATGCAACACAGAAAAGCTGATATAAGCTGTTTATTTAACCGAACACACACTCTGAGAGTCTTTAGCTGTACTAGTACATACTTAAAAAGACACTTACCTGGGTTTCAGCATGCACACATTCAAACTCCTTCACCTGTTGTCCATAAGCAGCCAGCACACCCAGTGACCCTTGCTCCCTGTGTAACTTAGATTGTGCTACACTCTGTTCCTGCTAGCGAATCAATCAAGTCAGTCCTCCTAACTGGACTTCCTCATTGGTTTACTTCCTCAGTTGAGGCTGAACATGCGCTGAGGAGAGATTGTAGTTATATTGGGAATCCTCAAGGATTATTGATATGGAATCGATCAGAAATGTACGGCTTCCTGACCACAATTTGATAATGATACTAATGTGGTTCACCAGCCCAAGTAGCTAATTCAGAGACGCCTTAAAAAAAAGAACTAAACATAGGGTGAAAAAAACCTCAAATATCCAGTGGTCAGTACTTTTTTTCCCACTCATAAGCACACATTTATTAAACCTGGCTAAATAAAACAAGAGTTTCTGAAGAAAGATTGAGCCATCTCCTGTTTTAGTTTCGGAGAAAACATGCAAAACCACTTTCAAGAAATCAGACCGCTTTCTTTGTTTCAGTGATTCTGTTTTGATTTGTATATTCTTGTAAAAATATAGCAAGTACACCCTCTTTCTACTCTTTCTTTTCTGAGGTTTTCCATTCTGACACATCAGATTCTACAGCCATCCCCACTCTTTATCCAGTATCTCCTGTAGCACCAGTTATCTCTGTATGATTTCATCTGCCTGATATTGTTATGGAGACCTTTGGCCAACTCCTCTTTTGGAATCCCACCACAATATTTCCCTTTATTATCTGTAACTTCTAGAACTAAATTCTCTATGACTGATCTGCATCGCTGATGTCCTCCTTTAACTTTGTCATGCCTAAATAATTCCAGAGATATCCCTGATGGTGATATGTTCTTGTTTGACCTGCAGGAGAGAAGAAGTCATCCGGGCGATCGAGGAGGAGATCAGAAGGGAGAGGCAGGTGGCTGAGGAAGTCGTCCAGGCAATGCCTTCAGCAAAGCGGGACAAATATTTCTCCATGACAACAGCCAATGAAGAACTGCTGCAGGTATGTCTATAAAAAAAAACAAAACAATAAAAACTCCCCAGAAATGATCTATGATTACCTTGCCTCTATGTTTTTGGTTTCTTTTGCAGGAGCTTGCGGTGCTGCAGGAGGAGCTGGACGTTCTGGTAACCAGGAAGGAAGACTATGAAGCGGTGAGTTTAGGCCAAAAGAACGTAGCACTGAATCAGGTCCAGGTCCATCATGTATCTTCCCTCTGTAGGAGCTGTCCCACTCACAGATAAAACAGGAAATGGTTCGACTTCACGAGACACTGGCATCGCTGGAGGGGAAACGCAACGCAATGGAGGACGAGCACAAGAGCCTGGGCTCCCCCCAGGAGGAGAGGGAGAAGCTGCTGAAGCAGGTGGAGCCTCTTTGGGACGATACGTTTAGGGTTACAGGGCGAGTTCTGGTTTGGTCTCATCTGACCAAACCAGAACTCTTTTCTACTGCTGAAGCAAATCAGTGATCTTTCTTCTCTGTTGCTTCGTTCCCATTAACCTTAAAATTACACAATTTGGCATTTGGAAAATAAATTTGCTCAATGGAAACACTGCAGCTTCGAAAAAACTAATCTGTCGATATGGAGATTTTGCTTTTTTGAACGAGGTGGTTTTTCAGCTGTATCAAAATTATTCCTGTATTTTGCAAAACTGCAATGGAAACACTTTTTTCGCATCACTTCCACTTCCTGTCATGTGGTCAATAACAGGATGTTACTACTGGCGGAAAAGACGAAAACAAGAGGAAGTGAATGGAGGATGACAGCTCGCCATTTTTTTATTGTTTATTCATGTGGACTTATTTAATGGAAACACTAACTGTGAAATTGTGTTTCAACTTTAGTGGAATATCAACAAAGTTTTATGCACATTTACAAAGAGAACGTAGCTTGTGAGAAGATATGCTTCTAAAACCTGCAGCTTTTGTTCCAAACTCAAAGCAGTCTGCTAAAACCTTTTATCCAGAAACAACAAACACACAGGAAACATGGAGAGAGCAGAATATTAACAATATGCTGACATCATCCTCACTGCTTGGAGAAACGTTCAAACTGGTCTGGCTTGAAAATGAGAGAAACATTTCACATTGCCAGGGATTAAAATGGACATCTACAAGCGGAAACAGCACCTCCTGCAGGCCAAATAGGGAGTACATCAACAAATGTTGAAAAATATATGCATTTGTTAAATTAAAAATATGATTTTGATATTAAATTGACCAATCATTTGAAAAATGTGGAAGTAGACTGATTTTGTTGAATCCAAACTAGTTTGATTAATTTTTGTCTGTTTTTTTCTTCTTTTCAGGTGAAGGAGGACAACCAGGAAATAGCCAGCATGGAGAGACAGTGTGTATTCACACTTTGTTAATTTAAAAGCTTAGAGCCAGCTCGATATAATTGTGTGTGTGTGTGTGAGTGTGTGTGTGTGTGTGTGTGTGTGTGTGTGTGTGTGTGTGTGTGTGTGTCTGTGTCTCAGGCTTACTGAGATCAGAGACAGGAAGAGACAAATTTCAGAGGACATCCGGAACCTGGACCAGGACTCAGAGGCAGCTCAGGGTAATGCTGGTGCATGATGCTCTAAGCTCGTTGTGTGTCTTGGACCATTCTTATTGTTTTTTTTATTTTTTTTTATTAAATGTATAAATGGAAATGATTAGTCTTTTTTTCTGTCATCAGGCGAGTGCCAACAGAAGTACAAGGAGCTGAAGAGGAAGGAGGAGGAAATAGACAGTGAGTTCCAGTCAGAGAGAGAAAGACAGACGGTGACAAATCCATCATGATCGACATGTGGCCTTTTTTAGCATTTTTATAACAACTGATGGCAACACTGTGCTATAAAAATATACTATAGACATATAGTATAATGTGTCTATAATTCTGTTAGTATAATTCTATTTTATACTATAGAATTATAGTATAATTCTATAGTATAAAATTATACTATAGATATAATACTGTCCCTTTAAAAGCTACATCTTGTTGATTGTTTTATAAAAGCTTTTAAAGGGTAAAACATGAAGGGGTGAATACTTTTTCCAGACACTGTGTTCCAATCGATGACTGTTTCAGGGTTCCTGGACTCGTTTGAGGAGTCCAGAGCCGAGGAGCAGGAGAAACTGACCAGGAGCCAGGAGGACATTGTCTCTCTGCTGGAGCACTGCAGCAGGGTGAGAGAGAGACAGATGATGATGATGATGATGATGAGGCCTGATGAGGAGGAGGATGATTTAAACTGGAGATGTGCTCTGTGTGTCCAGAACATGTTGCGGCTGCGCCACGTCGACACGGTGACCGCCAGCGAGCTGAAGAACATGCAGGAAGTGCTGGTCAGCAAGGAGACGGAGGTGGTCCAATCAGAGAGCACCGCCAGAGGCCTGACCACAGGTCCTTAACTCAGACGCTCCCAAACCCAGAGGAAAGTAAAATATTTTATCTGCTGACCTGGCGCTGTCCTCCTGCAGAGTCCCACCGGCTGCAGCAGGACCTGGAGAAGGTTCAGCAGCTGGAGGGGAAGATCAGCGCTGAGCTCAGCACCCTGAAGGAGCAGGTCAGCACCATGGAGACGGAGCTGCTCACCTACAGAGACCTGGACGCCCTGAGACGGAGTGCTGATGACAAGAGGAAGGTAGGACCCGCCTCTCCTGGGACACAGCAGCACCTCCTCACCAAACACTGAGCGCCTGCTTTGTTCTGCTGCTTCAGAGGCTCCAGGAGGAGCGGCTGACCCTGAGTCAGCGCAGAGACTCCTTCCTCCAGCTGCTGGAGGAGATGAGCCTGAAACATGAAGCCCTCAAGACCAAGCTGCAGGAGAACGAGACGCACGCTCAGGTTAGAGCGGCAACACGTCCAACCGAACGCTCTCAGCACATTTGTTTCTTTCAGGAACTCAGCGGTGTGTGTTTGTGTGTGTGTGTCTTTGGTGTCTCAGCTGACCAACCTGGAGAGGAAATGGCAGCACTTGGAGCAGAACAACTTTGTGATGAAAGAGTGTATCCTTCACAGATCGCACCAAACAGTTCAAGTTAAAATGCTGTTTCCACTAATGACTTAATAGCAAAATGTTAGCATTTTTGCTAGCTTTGAAAATATTTGGCACTTAGCCTCCCCTAAATGTATTTTTTAAACGACTAACTTATTAGTCTATACAGCAGCATATTAGTAATTGATTACAATTTATTAATTAATCATATAAAAATGTCACATTATGCAGATTTTTCATTTAGCCTCTTTTTTTTGAACATATAGTCTACTCTAGTTAAATAATTTAACAATTTTTTCAATCATCAATTCATCATGATTAATCTTTCAGTTCTGCTTGGTTGTTTTATAAACTTTCAGCTGAATAAAGTTTGACATCTCTGAAATTTTCTTTGACTGTCACAAATTCAAGTAGTTAGATGTTTATAAAATGCGTGAATTATATTAACATTAAATTGGTGCCCAAGAGTTGGAGTCTTTCAAGGATAGCTATAATTAATGGTAGCATTAGCATTAGCTTCCGTTAAATACCATTGCTAATGCTATTGGTAGCATTAGCAAAACTTGGTATTTCAGCACAACTAACTTTTTATCTGTGTTCACTACTGAATACCAAGCACCTTCATGTCTCTTCAAATACACTTCAAAATATGTATAAAAGTAAAAATTAGCAGTATGAACTATAATTGTGGCCATTTGAGATTATTTCTAAGGAATCTTAGAAATAAAGGAATCAGGAATCACAACAATTTAATTATGGTAAGTAGGAATGTTGCCTTACTGAACTTTCTTTAACTTTTCTTTCAGTCATCGCTTCCAAAACTCAGGAGAGCGACTACGAGTCAGTTGCTAAGGTCGTCTACCAGCAGGTGGCAGACTACAACAAGAGCCTCATAGAGGCGTTACAGAACAACAGGAACTGACCTATATTCTCATTAACTTTGTGTTCAGTATCAGGTTAGCAATACAGTTAAAGTGGAAACTTCTAGTTAAGGTTAGCTTTCTGGGAGCATTTAAATTGTTAATGTCACTTCTGATTGGTCAGATTCTTTTCCCAAATCAGTAGAAGCTTCACTTATAAAGCCAGACTCGTGTCATGCATTGGACTAAGATGATGTGATGCTTGACAGAATATTTTCTAGAAATTTACATTCATAAGTTGATTTCTGGTGAAACTTGAATAGAAATATAAACTTGTTTATATCAATCAAAACACAGCCACTGTTGCAACAATAAAGTCAAAGTAACTCAGAACAATTTCCTTTTTTTTGTTGCATTTATTGCTTATAATTAAAGAAAAAGAAAAGATCAACGATTTGCATAAAATCCAAATTCCACTCTAGAAATATATTTTTGACCTTTCCAAAGTACAGTAAACAGAACGGCTGAGGGTGGCAGCAGAGGGACAGTACGGCATTGCTCAAACGGGCCGTTTAGAGCGACGCGTCCTCAGTATGTACACCGGACTTCCTTCTTGATCCACACCGGCAGTCTGAGCGCTTCTGATCTGGAGCTCAACACGACCTTCAGATGGGAGGAAGGACGTTTGATCTGAATTGCTGGAGACAGATCAGCAGCAGATGGGGGACGAGTTTCTGGATCGGAGAGCAGTTTTCCACCACTGGAATCTCCCAGCAGTCACATTCAGGAATAACAGGCGTGAATGCATAGATCAGTTGCAGTGACAGTAGGCTGACAAATACACACACACACGCACACACAAATAAAAAAAATCAAATAAAAGCAGCACGTTGACGAAGCCCTGAAAACAAGGTGGCTGTAGGACTGAACACTTCCTGAGCCCTGACCTGTCCAGGTTTAGAATCACTACGCCGAACAACGAACACAAGCAGGAAAAGGTTTGAATCGACACTCATGAAGAAATTTCTCACAGCTCTGCAGCTCTTAGTAGCCACTTAGTTTAAAGTCAAACACATGACAAATTGAGGGTTTTTTTTAAAATGGGAAAGCTAAGTTAATTCTAGAGATGCACCAATCTACGACAGATTTCCCAAGCTAGGAAATAAAAACAGGAGCAGCAGCTCATCATAACAAGAAACATTCACGCTCATCTAATCGAGATGTGAAACTGTAAACATAAATTTTTCTCTTTTTTAAAGGAGATATGATTTTTTTAAGGATAAATCCCCACTATGGGATGAAGCTACATGTTTCATGTAATAAGATGTTATACGAATGTTGTTTTAAATTAGGTTTGACCAAAAACATTTAAACAAAATCAAACTCGATTGTAACTCTTGCTTTCAACCACGTCTGGACTGAAGTAAATCTCTATAAGGAGAAATTCATTTAAACGACATTGAACTCCACTATTGAGAAATTTACTAGTTTCAACAGACACAACTTTTGTATTTCAAACGGCTACTATGCATTTTATGTAGTTATAAAAAGTAATTTTAGTGAGATATAATACTTAATGTCCAATTAAGAAATTAAAGTTTTAACAACAAATTTTCCCTTTGGGAGAAGTTCATTTTGTTCTTCCCATCAGTCAGTCTTCTTGGTGCATCTCCAGTAATCTGCTTCCACTTTGGGGCTCCACGCTCTAACACTGCCTAACACTTTCAAAAAAATAAGAATAAAAACATTAAAAGATGCCACTGCTTCAAATCAAAGAGGGCTTTGAAGAACTTTCAAGTTTATCAACAAATATGTAATCAAGTGTCAGTTAACAAGACCGGTATACATATGAAAAAAAAAAAATAATAATAATAAAGTACAAGAAGTTAAGATTAGATTCCATCCTGGGACTAAAGAGTCTGGTGTTCCCTCTCAGTGTGCTAGTTTGATCAGAAGGCTTCATCCTCTTCTTCATATTATAAGTATTTAAAAAACAAACCCCCCCCCCAAAAAAAACAACACATGCCTCGCCCAGCATGTGGGCGTTTCATCAGGAGGCGAGTTCTCCGTTCTGTCGGTACATTCAGCTCCTCGGATCGCGCGGCTGCTTCTCGTCTTCCAGTGAAGTCGTCATGCTGTGAGGATTCTGACAGAAATCTTGTCCAGAGGTAAAACGTCTGTAATAAACTGCCACTGTTCTCACAGATGAAACACCTGCCGGGGTTTGACACGGAAAAGTTCTGTCGGATTTCCAATTTTTATCTCTACCTGACACCTCCAGCCTTAAACGTTATAAACATAATGTCGGGCAGCAGGTTTCATTTTGTTTGATTTAAAACAGATGTCTCCTATCTAAAATATTAACTATATATATGCTTAAAAAAAAAAAAAGGAATACTTTTGTACACTCTAATAAAGCAAAAACTGATCATCTCATGTGGATTTGGGGTCAAAAGAAAAGAAAATCCCAACATGAACTCTTGTGGTGCTCCTGCAGTGCGCTTGCGTCAAACAAGATTCCCCGGTTTGAACGGTCAGAGGCCGGCCGTCCGCACAGCAACCACAAAACCAGCAAAACCCTCAAATATACACAGATTCCTGTCTGAAGATGTACATTCACAACTGTGCAGAGAACCTACAGGTACAACTCCTCCTGCTTACCGATTATTGATCTTAGAAACCCGCTGTACAGTTCTTCCAAACAAAATCAGAGATGAACAAAACCACGAGAATAAAGTATAAATAGACTCCTTAAGAAATAAGTGGATCAGAACATTTAAGCTGAGACTCAAGTCTTCATTTTTGAGTTAAAAAAAAAATCTTCCTAGAAAGTAATAATAATTTATTTTCCAACCCTCAGTGCAAAAATGTCCAAAAGAAACTGAAAGGGAAGAGAGTGGGAGTCACATGACTGTAGGTGAGTCGTCCCCATGGTAACCAGGTGTTTGTGAGGCACTGTGCTGAGGCTCTGTCTGCTGAGCCCAGGCAGCTCTCTGCCCTACAGAGGAACGCTTCACTGCTGCCGTACCTGTCGTAGTCATGACGACAGGAGGAACTCGTCATCATCGTCCTTCGTCTTCAGTCGGCATTGTCAAGTGCTTCTGAAATGCTGGATGCTGCAAACTTTACCCTGAAGCCTCCTGCAGGGCGCGTGCACACACACACACACACACACACACACACACACACACACAGGAGAAATGTAAAAGTTTTGACACACATGTATAGAGCTAAACTGGGACCATAAAGTCCACTGACAAAAAATATATTTTGAAACTGAAAAAAAAAAAAAAAAAAAAAAAAATTCAATTAAAAAAAAAAACTTTAACCCAATTTAAACATTTTTGTACAAATATTT